AGAAACAATCAAGAAATCTCCGAATTCTTGCAAGATCTCTGGTCCTAATCCGGGAAAACTGCAGTTCCTCCTTGTCTTAAGCTCTTAATAAGACGCCACGGGATTCAATGTAAAGACACCCGCGGCTTGTAGCAGATGGTTTCGAAAAGGTGGTTGTATAACCTGTGTTGGTCTTTCGTTTTGGAAGAGGGAAGAGGTGGTTGTGGTGATGGCTTTTAGTTTCCGAAATCTGGTTAACGGGATTATATTTCGTTAAACTGATTCGGGACTTGAGGTATCTGTATCTGGGTAGGCTTACGTGCTTGCGCTTGTAAATACATATTGCTGTATATACAAACAAGCACTGCTGCACACGTACATGCACAGACAGATATACACACAAGCAAATATAATGCAGACGGACACATACAGATGCACACTAACAATCCGACATGTTTTTAACTAGTCAGAGTCGAAATAGCACTAAAACTGCAACAAAAGTCGACAAGGAAAGAGTATTCAGCTTCTAAGATATAATTTCAAACTGAAATGTCAATTCTTATAATACAATTTTATTTTCCTTTAGTAAGAATATCGCATATTTTTCTGAGTGAAACTTAGGACACCAAAATAAAGTGCCCTGAAAAAATCGAAACGCCTCTACTGTACTAACATTTCCTCGCTGTGTTTGATAGGCGAAGCAGGGGGCCGATATGAAGATGAGAAACTACAGTTTAATTTCTTAAATCCTTTATCTAATCATGCCAGGAAAAGATCTGTTAAGACTGGGTTATGTACACACACACGCACACACACACACAGACACACACAAATATATGTCAATATGTATATGTATATATATATATATATATATATATATATATATATATGTGTGTGTGTGTGTGTGTGTGTGTGTGTGTGTGTGTGTGTGTGTGTGTGTGAGTGTGTAAGTGTTTGTGTGTGTATAAATAAATAAATAAATATATATATATATATAAATATATATATACATATATATATATATATATATATATATATATATATATATATATATATATATATGTACATATATATATATATATATATATATATATATATATATATATATATATATATATATATATATATGTGTGTGTGTGTGTATACACACACGCCCATATATATCTATATCTACATCTGTCTGTTTATCTATCTCTCTCTATATATAACCCACATACATGTATGTATATAGATAGAAAAAAACATAGACATCCATATAGAAACAGATGTATGAGCATGTATGAGCGCGCTTGCATGCGAAGTCAATTCCATTTTCTGATTAGAACTTTAAGACCAACAGTGCAATGATTATATGCTTCTGCCTCTTTCGCCTCCTTTATTGTGCAGACAGATAGCGTCCTGCCAAATATAGTTTAACCTTGCTTGTTCGATCTCACGTCTATTAGCATTTATTATTGCCACTCTCCATCTCTCACGATTTGGGGCTGTTTGTTGAAAAACGGCTGCCGTGTTTGCAGTGGCTGACATGTGTTTATTGACATCTCGAGTACAGAAGCTTCCGTTACGACTAAACACACGAAGCAATACACGACTGGTTGATAACAGAGGGGATATGTCAAAAGTAGTTCGTTCTGTGTTGGCGATCATATACCTGCCGTATCTTGTTCTTTGCTGCTCATCTCCTTCCAAAAAATACTGCAAAAATAGAAAATGTCTTTAGTATATGCATATGTAGATGTGTGTGTACAGTACGTGTAAGCGAAGCCGGTAGACCCACGTGGCTGGGCTGACGGCGGCGCATGCGCGGTTCCGGCGGCGCGTGCGAGAGGGAGTTGCCGGAGACCTTTTTCCGCCCGATTTTTTGCTTTTTAATGGTAAAATTATGATATTGTTTCTTGGAAAGTGAATTTGGTTTATGGATTATAGCGGTGTGAAATCATTCTTAGTGCTATTGACAAGTCTTGAGGGATAATGGGAGAGAGGAAGAGGGATTTTTATATAAATTTTTAGGCGAGTGGGAAAGGAGCCCGGGTGCACGCGGACGGCAGCACAGTGCCAGGTATCGCCCAGGGTTGGGTGCGTGTCGAGCCCTTCGGTCAGTCTAGCGTGGAACGTGTTCGCGTCAAGGCAGTCTCCCTCTCGCGCTCTCTCTTCATCCATACACACTACTTTACTTACTCACTCCTCTCTCATATACTCCACCATGCTCATGCCCGGTGCCCTGCCTGCTGCCATGCCCTCCGGAATCACCACGCCCACCATGCACCCACAGACCATGGAGGCGGCAGGCATTAGCCAAAAGGACACGACCTTCACCAAAATATTCGTGGGCGGCTTGCCGTATCACACCACCGACAAGTCTCTTCGGGAGCACTTCGAGGTCTACGGCGAGATCGAGGAGGCCGTCGTCATCACCGACAGACAGACGGGCAAAAGCCGAGGCTACGGTTTTGTAAGTACCCTGTTGACCCTTGTTCATTTTTCCTTCCTATTTTTATCTGTGTAATCTCGTTTTCTTTTG